CAAATTTTCAGTATTTTGGGCTTCTTGAGCGCGTATGTTTGGATACCCAATTTCTCCACCAAAAATTATAAATATAGATCCACTTTTTCTGGTAGCCCCCATATAACGGTACCTCCCAATTTTCAGTTTTTGCGGGGTTTTTACCGGATTTTTTCACCGAATTGGCTGTAATTTAGTACTTTGAGTTTTTATTGGGTATCAAATATCTCCACAAAGAATATAAAAATGTAGGTCGATTTTTTCGGGTAGCACTCATATAAGGGTACCCGGTATTTTGGGATTCTTGAGCACGGTTTTCAACCGAATTCGCTGTAATTTGGTATTTTGTAGTCGTATATGGTAACAAATCTCCCTACCAAAAATTATTAATGTTCAAAACATCTTACCTATTTAATATTAAGCCTGGAACTTGAGTTACATCGGCCCTTAATTAGGCCTAACCTGCTAATTACTACACAATGTTGTCAATATTGGTCCCGCTTTAGTATGCCTCATATATAATATTGCCCTTTAAATTGGAGTATTTTCAGGATTTTATACACATGTTTCACCGTACCATGCGTTAATAATATATGTCAAAATTTTAGGGTTTTGAGATTTTAGGAGAACCCCCATTGAAATTGCTGAATTTTCTATTTATGGTTATCTCCATGTAGCTGTATTTCACCATAGAATAGGGGGTATTCTGTAGACCAAATTTTCCGTTCATACCCTGCATAGTATGGAATTCTAAAACGATTTAGTCGATGTGGTCATATGTTGTAATCATTTTTCTATCGGAAGATACCGACATAAAAACTAGAACATGAGGTTTGAGAATGAACTATATCGACCCGCATTTAGGCCCAGGTCCTATATAAAAAATCCTACATATTTAATATTTAGCGTGATGTACGGTATTGGGATTCAAAACTAAATTATTAGCTTGGAACTTGAGCTATATTTAATTAGGCATAACCTCTTATATAATGAAAACACCAAGCATTCGCTAATTCAAACACAATGAAATGAAATGTTTGGGATGAAAATGTAAATGATTGGGGCAGACATATATATTGTAATTTTTAAAATATTAATTTTCATTTTTGGCTCAACCATATTTTTCTCTGCGTGCACCTCTTATATTTTAATGTAGAGATTTGCTTCCGAATAAGAACTCAAAATATTAAATTACAGCGAATTCGATTGTTCTTTCCCAAACCCCTAAAATACTGAATGTTGCAGGGTACCATTATATGGGAGCCACCACAAAAATTGGACCGATACTTATAATATTTAGCGAAGAAATTTAGTACCCAATATGATCAAAATGTACTAAATTTCAAATTCGATTGAAAGACATGAAACCCAAAGTTCGGAAAATTGGGAGGTACACTTATATGGGAGCTATGCCTATACGTGGACAGATATAGCCCATCATCGAACTTGCCTGCAGGCAAAATCCGGTTCTATACAAAATGTTGGCGATCTGTCTCAATTCGTTTAGACGCTAGAGTGATTACAACAGACAGACGGACATGTTTGAATCGTCATAGAATTTTACGCTGATTAAGAATCTATATATATACACTGTATAGGGTCGGAAAGGATTATTTCGATGAGTTACAAACGGCAAAATAAACTTAATATACCCTTCATACTATGGTAAAGGGTACACAAATAATATGCCCTTGATGTTATGGTGGAGGATATAAAAATCAATATTCGAAATTGTATTAAAAGTCAACTTGGATTCGGATTGTGGCTAAAAATTGCTCAACTTCAAATCCCCGTTGCTAAGATTATAATAACGTCTTAAATCGAAGTTTTTTCCGAAATATGTATATTCCAAATTTTGTATCAAAATTTACTAAAAATGTTAAGCGGTAAGGCCAGCTGAAGTCTTCATTGACCGTCAAAATATTTCTATTCAAATCAAAATACTCGTGCATAATACTTTCATTACTTTCTAGAACAATATTTATTCTGTTCTGGTTGGTATTTCGCGATTAAAAAGTTGGAAGCAAGCGAAAACTAAGGTATGAATTCGCATTCTTTAGACCTTATTAATAACCAAGGGTTGATACGAACAAATTAAATGTACCACGTGTGACTAAATACCACTTCGTTTAAATACTTTATGGTGAATATTACAAGGTCCTTGGATAGCATATAATAGATAAAACTATATTATACTTATATCATGTGAAATAACACCCACTTTTCCGCATGTTGGCATCACTTTTCTCCCTAACAAACAACTTCTCAATGTTACATTCTCCTACAATCTCTCTCTGTTTATCTCAATTTTCTTTTATTCTCTCGTATTCTTTTCGTTTCGAATTTTTCCCAATTTCCATTTACCTTTGAAATTTATCCGGTTTTTGTTATGTTGTTTTTTATTGTTGTTGTTGTTGTAGTTATGTCGTGCAATGTCTGCTGTATATTTTCAGGCGTATGACATCAATATTTTACATTTGACATTAAAAATTCATGAGCGTATATTCCACACCAGATCTATATACATATATGTGAAAATACTATATGTGCATATATAGCAGAATAATTTGTTTCTTGTTATGTTACGTTATTTATTTATTTCACTTAACGTTATCGACAATTCACACTTTTCACAACATTTAAAATCGTTTTAATACTAGAAAATGAAAGCACTTGGACTCGTTGTTGGGTTATCGGCAATTCTTAAAACAAAAATCGAAACGACATCAAAGTGATACAAAATGATTGAATCGAGAAGCTCCTTTCACGTATATTGCTTAATGATAACTTTATGGTAATTTTCGACGACGTTTTATTGGTGATTTTCGAACTGATATCAGTGAAAAATTCACGCACACACAACCGGATGTTATTCACGCGTTTTCAAAACACACATAAAAATCGTGGTGCACAACACGGAATCCTTGAATATGAATAGACGATGTGCTCAATTGCTGGGCTGTTATCGTTTTTATGACTTCTTCGGTTGATTTTTCAAGAAAATACTTTTTAATAATTTAATTTTTTCCTTCTTATGGCTAAAATTCACTGAAAACTTCCTTAATTTCGTGCACACGTTGGGTAATTTAGATAGAAATCACTTCGTGAGTTTTTTCGTCTTCTTCTTCTTCTACTCACCAACCACAGACACACAATGTTCACATCTATGGATGTGTGTGTGTGGGAAGGTGTATTGGTATTTGCTTACATTTCTTGTTGCTTTATTTTATCGTCGTCTCCTTCAGCCTTTATTACCTTCATAAAGAGCTTTGATAGACCTGATGTAAATGTATGGGAATGTTGTGTTGTGTTTGTAGTCGTTATTTGTCATGTGTGTCGCGTGACTTCGTTTGTTGTCCAACTCAGTTTATTCTCATTTATAGTTTCTCCCTCTCTTCGCATCAGCCGTTTGCAAATAGCTGCATGTACCAAAGGTTGGACTTATTGCCTCAATTAGGGTTTTTATGAAGTGCAGAGAGAATATTGTAGGAGCACAGTGGCAGAATTTTTTTGTTATAATATAATTAAGATAATTTTGTTGTAAAATGATAACATTTATAAATGGATCGAAGGCGTGGGAAAGCATATACAATTTATCGGTAGTACTAAAGATGTCTACACCAGGGTTATGACGTTTTTTGTTCAAAAATTATTTGCGGAAGCAAGAATGAATGAACTTTGGACTATTAAAATTATATTACGAATGGCAAAATATATCAAGTCGAAACCCACATAACCTATCAAACAATTAAATTTTAATTTTTGGTTTTAGACCCCAGGTTTCTTTCGGCCAAATAATTTTCAGACAAATTAAAATTGATTTCCCTAATGTCCTTCCGTCTGTATAGGTAGTTGGTGTGCACGATATGGGAGTAATTAAAAAATGTTTCCATAATCCCAAAAATACCGAATATTGGGTGGAACCGTTATATGGGGTCTATCCTGAAACTTGGGTCAATATTAATGATGTTTCGTATGGAGATATTCTATACATTAAGTACCCAAAATTCCAAATTATATCCAATTCTGTTGAAAAACATGTCGAAGATAGCTTAATTCCGATTATTGGCGGGTACGGTTATATGAGGGCAATCCTGAAACATAGGTAAATATTAATAATATCGTGATTTCAACTGAGGGACAGACAGAAGGACACGCATGGATCGACATAGAATTTTAATAAATATCCAGTAAGGAAAGTAGTAAAGTCGGATTGGGCCGACTATATGATATCCTTCTTCACTATGGGTATATTGTACATATGGATCCTTAAAATTGGCTGCATCTGCACCAATTTCAACAAAGCGCAATAACGTCATTTAAGTCTCAATTTGATACGCTGTGCACAATTTCGTGTTAATCGGATAAACATTAGGAGTTTGGTACACCACATATGTGAAATCGTGGGAGCTCTACTAATCGTTCTAGACCATCGTTCTAGACCAAATTCATTACGTTATTCCAAATTTCGTGCAAATCGAAGGATATATTTAACTAAAATCGGACGAAAATATATATGGGAGCTATATCTAAATCTGAACCGATTTTCACGAAACCATTCACCATTTACATTAAATTGGACGAAAATATATGAACCGATTTTCACCAATTTCACTAGGGTTCGTCCTTGGACCAAATAAATGAGTTGTACCCAATACCATCCAAATCGGACCATAGATGCGACCTGTACCTTGTTTATAATTTAACATCAACATGCCTGTCGTTTGTTTAAAAATTTTGATGGTTGGGCACACAATCTAGATCGAATCAGCTTGTCGAGATATGACAATCGGAATAGGTGAGTCCAGCGGCATTACAAACTCTTTGAATCACATAATGCTATAATAATCTTACAACATAATCGTGTAGAGTATAAAACCTTTAGCACTATGTTCAAATAGATATTTTTATACCAATTTATTAATGATAGATAACAGTATATATAATATAATAATAGTATATTCAGAATTCTACTTCTGCCCGCGCCCTCGTAGTACAATATTTTTTGTAATTTTCGATATTTATCTACTTTCTATCCTTAAAACTGGAACATGCTTTAGATTCAGCGTAATTGTATAATCAAACTCCAAATCAGCATATTGGAAATCTGTGCTAAACTTGAAATTCCGTAACAACTTTGCCAGGGTTACTTTCATCGACATAAGCGCATATTTCCATCCTGTGTTGAAAATAAAAATAAACGAGTATTAAAATAAGTCTTAGTTAACATCTTTATTGTCGACCTACCTATACAGCTTCGAATTCCCTTTGTAAAGGGAATAAATGCATATGGATGTTTGCCTTCCATGTTTGAAGGCAAAAAATTGTCAGGATCAAATACGTCAGCTTTGGGGCCCCATATATCCTTACGTCTATGCATGGTAAAAATATTAATTAAAATGTTTACTCCCGCTGGTACGACTATTCCATTTGATAGGTTGATATCTTGTGAATTTTGACGTCCTACGAATGGTATTGGTGTCAGTACACGCATAGTTTCATTGATAACCATATCCATATAGGTCATATCTTGAATATTTGCATAGGTGACGTCAAAATCTCCGTCATCTGGAAATATGGCCAGTAGTTCCTCGTAGACTTTTTGTTGATATTCGGGAAACATTGCCAGCAAAATGAGAACATTTCCAACTGTATTAGTCGTAGTCTCGTATGCCTTCACACAAAACACACAACATTAACAATACAATTGAGTTATGATAGAGTATAAATTACCCCAAAAACAATAGTCTTGGATTCGTCTTCCACATCCTGCTCTGTAAAGATATTCCTTCTAAAAAGTTCAATGGTTTTGTCTATGAAAATATTACCATTTTTAGACTCGACTTGAGTGGCACCATCTTCATTTAATTTTTTGTTGATGAGCTGTAAAATCAAAATAAAAGATACCAACCTTCTTGAAGTTGTTTCGGGCGAAACAACATCTATTTGTACTTACACTTCTAATAAACTTGTGGTTTTCTATTCTGCGGCTGTGGAATGGTTCGTACACACCCGTTAACCTCCGAATCAAATCATTGGCCAACCATGGATTAAACACCATTTGAGCTCCATTCTCCATAAGACTAAGAAAAAATTCCAGAAATTACGCATTTCTGTGGAAATAATAACAAATCTTATCATACCATTGAAAGCTTCCGAGTATGCCATTATTGGATATATTTCCGAACTCTTGGGCCACATCAACTCCCAATGTTGTTTCTGCGAATACAACAAAATCTTAAAAGGAAAGGGATGAAAAGGATAATATTAACTCACTTATGGCGATATTCAATGTAAAATCCATGAACAAAGTTATCACATCCGGACATTCATTGATTTCTTTGAATCGTTTTACAAGCTTATTCACCTCCTCATTAAAGATCGGCATGAAACTCTGTAATATTTTAAAACCAAAGACAGGATCCAAATGTTTTCTATGGACGCTCCATTTCGGATCTTAATTTGTATTGAGGTTAACATATGTATATATTTGTAGTAAATTCATTTTTTTTTATTTACCATTCAAAGAAATTAGACCTTTTCCAATACCTTTGTGAATCGGTTCATAAAAGACACTTTTATTCGTACAGCAAGGCGATGTTAATATATCTCGGATTATATCCGGTTCGGCTATAAGCAATGACGGATAAGTAAGCATCCATACATACGTAAATGGGCCATATGACTCATTGAGTGTGTGTATCACATTCAAGGGGTCTTCAGAAAAAAAAAATGAGGATTTCAATTACATTTTGATTGAAATTGTAATATTAAATCTATAAAAATATATGTGTAAAAATTCGGCAAATTCAGATTTAAATTGTGATTTATTTCCACAATGGGCGAGTTGCATCATGGTTTAAATATACAAAGTCTGACTGGAGAACTTTTCTAGGATCTACATTACATTTTTTCAATTTTTCAGAAATTATTATATATTGAGATTTTTTGAATTAGTCATTAAATGATGGTATTTTATTTTGTTTTTTTTTTCTGTTTCAATTATATTATCGACTTCACGAAATTATTATATTATAGCAACGCATCCATATTACAAATACCACACAAACCTTGTTTAACAAACTTTAGAGCCAGACCCACAAGGGGATAACCCATCCATCCTGGTATTTTAAACATTAGGGCATAAAACTTTCGCCGTGTCCACAACCAGTAAAACCACGTACACACCAATATCACAACACAAATATACCCAAATGACATTTTTTCGCCCGATTGAAGCGCACGTACGTCTGTTACGATCAAATCGACTCGCACTATTAAATGTTTACAATAGAATAGCTACACTTTTATAGCGGCTAAGGGCTAATGGTTCTGATAGCCACGACAATAATTAATTACGGAAATCTTAAACTACGTCTGTTAAAGAATTTTAAATATTCAATATCTATATCTATATATATAAAAATGAATTGCTGTTCGTTAGTCTCGCTAAAACTCGAGAACGGCTGAACGGATTTTTCTTATCTTAGTCTTATTCGTGGAGCTTCAGGGAAGGTTTAAAAGGTGAAAAATAATCGAAAACCGCGAAAAATTTGCAAAAAAATATTATGAAGCATTGTCAATTTTTTTTTTTAAATTTTCAAAGTATGTACTTATTTTATTTTTTTCAATTGGATTGTCATTGTATTGAAAATATTTTAGGTGAGAATACAAAAAAAAATAATAATAATAATTCAGAAGGATATCATTGAATGTACACGCGATCA